TATTTTGAGCAGCCTTTCTGAACCTAATGTCCTCTGGAGCAGTGGTGGGTTGCCAATTTCTTTACTACCAGTTCAGGCGTGCTCGCGCACGCACACACTTCTGCGCATGTGTAGAAGCTTATGCACAGAAGCGACCAGGCGGGGGGCAGAGTCTCCCACCACCGCTACTACCGGTTCGCCTGATCCAGGCCGAACCGGGAGCAACCCACCTCTGCTCTGGAGACTTGGTCTTCGACTCCCACAATTCCATACTCATTCATCTGGAGGGCATCTGATGGGAAAAGTTGATTAACTGCTTTTGAGGATTACAGCAAAGGCCTCGCCAGGTTAGCTGGATTTAGTTGATCTCAAATGGCTGTGCAGAATCAGACCTGGTTATTAGTCAGGTTCCAGATCACCAAGCAATGGCTGGGCTGGAAGCTAGAATGAAAAATTGAAAAAGTCCTGAAAGAAGGCAGGGGCAAATTTTGTGTGATTCACAAGAATGATCTCAATTTCTGGCCATTGCCATGTTGTCACCAGTTGTCAAGTTGGACTTGAGGGAGTATTTATCTTTGATCTTTGCATTGGCAGAGGATTCTGGGAATGCTTCCGCTACCTACTTTCAGAAAAATAGTCATTGAAAGGCATCTGTGCGGTACGGATCATTTTTTGTTTGTTCTAGATTCCCCCCCCCCACCTTCAGATGTGTGAATGTTTCATAAGGAGTAAAACCTTCATCTCCTTGGACATCTCCCTTGCCTGCAGCGTAGGCCCACACCATGCAAGCATGAGCTTGCCCTTGGTTTCCTCCTCTTATAATCCCTAATGTTTACCTTCCACTCCTTTGAAACAGAGCCGCAAAATTGTTATCCTAGGAAGTGGTTGCATGAGCTAGAAAGGCAGGTTTTTGAACAGCTCATTGCATTTTTTTTTCTAATCTGTTTTAAGTAGAACACAAGCCATGCAGCGATGTCATGGGAGATTAACCTTTTGCAGTGCTCTACCACCCGTCCTGAAAGTCTACTATTAAAATCATGTACTTAATGGGTTGGTTTGCGAGTGTTGGAGTTAAGAATTCTAGGCACAAATTTAGAATCCAGCTGCATGAAATCTGCTTCATGTTTATCAGCCTGAGAAACACTGTTTACAGTGTGAGCATCACATTAAAATGGGCTTTAGTCTGTAAACTGATTCAATATTACATATGGTAGTCTTTAAGATTCTCCCAGTGCTTATTGCATTTGCCACCACAGGCTAATGTAGCTGACCTTCTGGAACATCTAGCCTGATAATTGGGCAATTGACTGTGAATGAATAGAAACCTGGTGGGTTTCACTTCAGTTGTGAAGTATTTCAGCTATTAACAGATTAACAGACATTACCAATTCTTGATGTTTCCCGAGATCTCATATCCATAGTTGTTTGACTGCACAGCAGCACAAGTAGAAAGGGAAATTCTAAAACATAAATTAATAATCTGTAAGCCCCCATGCAGCCAGCTAGAGTAGCTACTCTATTGCCATGTTCCTCAATTTTCTCCTAAGAAGTGCTACTGATTTTAGCAATGGAGTACATAGGAATGGTCCATCTGTTATGCCATCTTTTCTAAATGAGTGTTGATGTTAATATGCAGGCTGTTGGGCACACAGTTAAGGCAGAAGGTAATGTAATTATCTCTATTAGTCACATATGCCCCCCACCCTTAATAAATTAGTTTCTTAATAGAAGCAGTTAGATGGTTAGCTCCCTTAAATAGTGAATTATGACATCTGTCCCATTGCAATTCTATGGCTCCATGTTATGGTTATATTATTATGATTTCATAATATATATATACACACACACACTAATACTTTTATTTAAACTAAATTTGTATATCAGTGATTGCGTGTTTTCTGTAGATGCCTTACACTGAATAAAAATAAAATAGATGAATTGTAGTGGTAACAGATTAAATAGGTAATGGGAAGCCCTGTTAAAAATGACATAAAAGGTTTTCTTTTGAACTTTCAGGTACCTCGTGTCCACATCCTCAAACGCTCTCCTGAAGGAGCCCCTGTGCAGGTCTACGTCCCGGAAAATGGAGAAATCATTACTCAGGTTTAGAGGCTGCTAGATCCTGGAAGCATGAGCAGGATGATTACCTCTTAGGCCCTTGTCTGGGAGGGGAAGAGGAGGCCTTCATTCAAGTCTTGACACATTCTTGTCTCTTGTGCTCCTTCTATTTGGAAGAGAAACTTTGGGACTTGTTCTGCAAGCTACGTTAGACCATGTTCCTATGATGAATTGAAATAATGTACTGATGACAACAGAATTTATGTTTCTTGTATTATATGAAATATAGATCAAAGTAACTAGGATTTGTCTGCCTATTTATTCTCTTAGGTCTGTGCTGGAAACAACTTTAGAGTGTCTACAGATTATGCAAACGAAATTAGTGTAGGATTTTCTGAGCTATTTCTGACTACAACTTACTTTCTGGTGGAAGTAGAATGTACTTCCAGGCTCCTTCTCAATTACTGGATTTGCCTTCTTTGTTCCTGAAGAAAGCTACCCGATGCAGCCAATGGTCTGGCTGAGTAAACTTCATGCTCTGCTGTCTTATTCTGCCTTTCTTTAGACTAATGTAATTCACAAATCTGTGGACCTGTGTATGAATCCTTATTTTCAGTTTTAATGGAATTTTGTATTTAAAAGGTCCATTTTGATGGATGAACTATAAAATTCGCTCAACTTCTATATGCAATCCTCATTAAATTATGGAATCGGGGTTACCTATATAGAACAAATTGCATGTTACATAGTTGATAATCATCTAGCACTGAGCCAGACAACCAGCTTTAATTTTATTGCAGAAGAGATTAATGACTGGTTTGTCGGCTGTAAGAAAACAAGTCCCTGTTTACTGACCTCTTTTGCAAAAAACAAGATAGTTTACACAAAGACATTCGCAGAGCATTACACTTAGGGCCAGAAACTAGTCTTATAGGTTTATAAGGTAATTTAGCAATAAACTCAGCAACCTTAGAGTTGAGCAACATCTGTATGGCATGGTTAACCTGGGGTGATCTGTGCCTAATTGGAAACACTTGTTGGGCTCTTGTTACAAAGATGGACTAAAACATGGTTCCTCTGGGTAGAAGTGGGTCAGGGAGGGGGAGGAGCAGGAAAAAGCCAGGTTTCAAGGAATGTGCAAACTTGTGGTGGCAGTGACAATGTAAGAGGACAGAGGTGGCACTGGAAAGAGTTGAGCGAAGGCAAGAGACAAAGAGGGCAATGTCTAAAAATTACTCCACAATCCCTCTGAATGCTGTTTTAGCAGAAACTTTGGAAATGTGGGCTTTGTCCCTACCAAGCCGCAACCAATCCAAAACACTTGGTTTATCATGGATCCCAACCAAAACACCACACACCCCCGCAGTATTTTCTGTATAACCTTACAGTATACCAGAGCCTACAGGGTGGATATAATATTCAGTCCTTCTCAAGGGTATATACTGCAGTTCTAACTTTTGGTAAATTTTTAGTACTGCCAACTACTTTTCTGTCAGTGTTCTAGGCCTTTTGGCTTCATTAAAAGTAGAAATCAAGCTAAGGAAATGTTCAACCTATTTACATTATTTTTCAAAATCGTCGGCAATGTTCTGATGACTTAGTTGTCATTCAGATATGAAGGGGAAAGAGAACCAGAAGACAGCCTTTTGTTAGTCATTGTAATTTTATATAAGTATTAGGATTCAACATCTTCAAATGACATTTTTCTTACCCCAATTACTCTGTATGTCAAAATTCAAACTTGTCATCTCCATTTTTCAAGGTTTTTTTTTCCTTCCACCAAGTGAGAACTAATACCTATGGTAAAAATCAATTTCACTTCAACTTTATATTAAAAATTGCATTGAGTTTAATTCAGCCCAGCCTAGAACCTTTATTGCCCAAATCTCTGAAAAGAAGTCTTTGGGAACACTGAATGATTTACAAAAGGCGATTTGTATAACAACAGGGGTTTTGAGCCTCATGGGGCTGCTTCATTCCTAATCACTAGAAATGTTTTTGTATCATTCATCTGCTTTTCACACTTCTGGTTTTGGGCACTCAAGGAATAGTTTAATAGTCTAAAAAACATTGAAAAAGTAGTAAGTCTGCTACCTTAGAATAAGTGTAGACTTTCTCTCTGTTCCATTCTTCATTTAAAAATTGGGGGAGGGGGTAATTTTGCCTGAACACATAGATGTTATAAGGGTGTGATGGGGAACCTTTTTGGCATCAACTGCCCAAACTGGAAAGCGCATGCATGAGTGTGTATTGGCGTGCCAGAAACCTGAAGATCAGCTGGCCGGTGTGTGCATGCCTGCTTTTTGGGCAGTTTTGGCCATTTTTCAGGCTGCTTTCAGTTTTCAAGCTGTTTTTTGGGGCATTTTCAGACTGTTTTCCAGGCCATTTTTGGTTCAAAAAAATGGCTGGAAAACTGCCCAGAAAAGGCCCCAAACAGCTCAGAAAACAGCCTGTTTTTTGGCTGCTTTTTAGGCCATTTTTAAGCGGTTTTCTGGCGCTCCGGCGCCTGCAAAGACCAGTTGACCGGCAAGCATGTATGCCCAGGAAACCAGAAGAGCAGCTGGCGATGCTGTGTGTGCCCACAGAGGGCTCTACATGCCACTTCTGGCACATGTGCTATAGGTTCACTATCATGGTTATAAGGCGATAAAAGAGTTTAAAAAGACATGTCTCTTTCCCAAAGTTAATTTCTCTCCCTTCAAGGCCATTCCCTATGCAGAAAACTTCCCGGGCAAAGAATAAATGGTAAGGAATACTGGAGGACTATACTTCATCAGATTAGGCCTGTGAGACGTAGTGAGACTATGTCAGCTCAGGACTATTTCCAAGTTCTTAGCTATTTTTAATCATTGCATTTATTCTGTAATAGCTTAGGGAACCAGCTTCTCAAGCCCGCAAGCTTCTGATTTAATTTTTTTTAAAGGCTTTGCATTAGACTTTTAACGTAAAAAACAGAGTTGGGATTTCAGTTGAATAAATTTATTACCAGGAGGAACAAAAACATTCATTGGAAAACCATGTACATCAGAAACTTTAAATAACTTACATTATTTACACAGAGGTATAAAATATTACATACATTGTATCCTTACATGCACACACGCACACACGCACATTCACACTTAACACCATTTTGCCAGATGACACAGCCCTCACAGAAGCCTCAGACAAGCACCAGTGGTTTCTACGGGTAAAAAACCCCGACCTTTCTGGATAAGGAAAGGCACCTGTTTGAAACAAAATTTAAACCTGGTCACATCCAGGTAATGCTGGGACTGCAACTAAAACTATCGTCCCAACCCTGGATTGAGGTGACTGGTGTACTTTAGTACACAATCAAGTAGGCTTCTTAAACTGAGAGTTTAGCCTTAGGGACAGCATGATAACATGTTCAAAAACATCCTTGCAGAGATGCAAAACCATTATTAGTCTCATTAGTCTTATTACGGTAACCTGTTGTTCAGTGCTTGAAAATTATGAGAGATGAAATGTCCATTGTTGCTTATTTTGTATCCTCTCAATTATGTGCTTCAAGTACAATCAACAATAGGGTAAATTATACTTACTAAACCCAAGAAATCAGCTCAATTCCCCTCCTACTACATCCATGGAACCAGAAGTATTACAAGAGGGAAGGTTTACCCTCCCCTCCCAAAAAATGGAGAATAACCTGGTGCCAAAGGACAAGAAAGCATGAGTCACCCAGAACTCTATGGCAAACATGGGCCTTAATTTAAGAAAGAATGTGTGGCTTCCACTAGCTTTCCTTCAATCTGAGCTGACCAAGTGAGGAAAGATGGAAGCTGAAGTACAACTTCTGGAGGACCACAAATCACAAAATCCTTTAACCAACCTATAAAAAGTATCTCCTGGCAGGTAGATTTACACAAATACTAAATATTATCTTTTGTATGCATCATATTCTTTGTTCTAAACAAGTAATATAAGTCCATGGAGACTGGTGAGCTAATTCACAATCTATTCAAAGATTTCTGCAGGCAAAAACATTCAAAGGGGATCACAAACTTCAGTAAATAGCAAAACAAAACAAAACAAAACACCAATTTGGGTTCCATGTGGAGAAATAAAGATTGTGCTGATTTTGTGGAAGATTCTCCTCTTCCAATCTTGGAATTGTATGACCCACCTCCCCCACTCAGTTTAGAGTGCTGAATTAAGACTGCAAATGACACCAAGATGCAGTAAACATAGTGCAGCCTTAATATGTAAACGCTCCCTCTGATATTATACAGAGGGCAGCTTCCTTTCATCACACTTTCCGTTGAGCTTAGAAATTGGGACCAGTGAAACTCTGCGTTTCCCAGATCAATTCAAGTTCTATTAACCAAAAAAAAAAAAGGGAAAACACCTTGGACCATGAGGTAGGTTAACTCAAAACAAGCTCTCACCCTTTTAAAATTGCAGTCACACACCTCTCTCTGCTGCCCGCCCCCCTTCATCCCCAATTGCACAAGACAAAACACAGAATCATTTGAACACCTATTTAGAATTACAATACAACTTTCCACTTGGATGGAAGAATCAGCAGCTTAAGTGTAGAGAAAGGGATTTTTTGTAACACAAATGAATGGACAGAATTCCAAGCTAATCCAGGGCAGTAGAGCAAAGACTCCTACAAACTAAACGCAGAGCTATAGAATGGTCCAAAGCATTCAGAAAGCAAATTGCTTTAACCTGCTGGTCCATATTTCCCTACTAGCGAATGGCTTTCCCAAGTCTGCTGCTGAACGATCAGTTTAAAGCCTTGGTCATCTGATGGAAGAGTACAACGCAAGTTAAATGTTTAAGGATGAACCCTATAGCAATGTGAAGAGCACTTGATCAATCCTTCAGAGAAGCTTGGACAGCCCTGCTACATTGCACACAGATGAAAGCTTCTCCCACGCAGTGATGGATCTTCAAGGGCTTAAGCCAATGTTTGCTGCTAAAAATCAAGTTCAGTGAACAATATCCTGTGAAAAATTCAAGTTTCTAAACACAGAGCATTAACTTTTATCCATTTGCTCCATATTGTAACATGGAAATGTGAATGTTTGAAAAAGATGTAAACAACAACAAAAAGATGCTGGGGATGAGATTGAGAGGGGCAGGCTCATTATCTCCCCAGTAATACAGGAATGCATTGCAACACCCTTGTGCTTAGCATTTCAAATCTTCCTTACCCTGTTTGAAAGCTGGAAGGGAAGGTTCCACATTTTTTTCTGTTCCCAGACAAAGGAGAAGGAAAAACGTCCTTTTTCCTGTGATAGGGAACAGTTGATTTCTGCAGTTGCTGCCATTTTGTTACCGAAATATAATAATTTGAGAATGGGAAGAGAAAATGGCATGCACAGGCAACGTCTTTGCCAGAATTGCCAAATGATGGCATGAAGGAGAATTCTAAATGTATTTAATCGGTTTAGGTCTCCCTTTCTTGTTGCTTATCTAACATTTAGAAAAAAAAATCACCCAGCTTTGTAACTGGTATTCAGGAAACAACAACTCTTCTGAAGTTATCAAAGTTCATCAAATCAGTTACTAAATATATCGCTCTGTATAATACAATTGTTTGTTGTCTTTTTTCTTTTAATACTGTCATTCCAGGAATTTGGGGAAATTCCTCAAGAGTATTTGGCAAATGAAATTCTGAATCTATAGTGACCACTGAGAAACACTACATTATGTGCTCATATTAAAGTGGCTCATTTTCTTGCGTTCTCCTCCAATCCTTCCCCCTTTCAAAAAGAAAACAATTAGCAATTCACAGATAAAAGGAAGAAATAAAAGTCAGTACTTCATAAATCCTCTTGAAAGACCAACTAGAACAAGGAATATCCCCTAAAACATAACAATCAGCTATCCAGGAAGGGACTTACAACACTTGATTTTCTCTCTAATTATTTTCACTGTAATGTCTTATAGGCATAAACAGGATATAGGCAGCTCCTGGACAACTGGAAACCATGGGAAAACCTCATTTAATTATACAAGGATGAAAAATCTAATTTTGATTTATAAAATATTTTGACTCCTTTCCCCCCCAAAATATCCTATTTTGTAAACTTATCAGATGGATTCTGATTGAAAGAACCTCAGCACCAAATTTTGTCTTCTTTTTTGGCTCTATTTTACCATGGCCGCCACCATAGACATCTGACAAGGAAAGAGACTTGAACATGTAAACAGAAAAGGAGACTTCCTTTGCCCTCCCCAACCCTTGTACTTGTCAGAAAACCAGGCACCCATCTCATCCTGAAGCCCTGGTGTGAGAGATTAAATACTATTTCCTAGCCAAGCTCCATCTTAGCCTTCTTAAATTCATATTTGCTTTTCTCAACTTCTAGGTTGTGCTGTTCAGTAGCTTCCTCGCACTCCAGAGCTTCACTGTGCAGTCACTGGGAATAAAGGTAAAAGGATAAGAATGTGAAGAAGGATCCATAAAAGGCCAAGCTTGTACATTTGAAAACAAAGCATTACATGAAGTGAGAAACAGAAAAAAAAACCTAAAAGCCAAATTACCTATTACATTAAATATACTTTAAAATGGTATACTTTAAAATGGCATTTTCATTTTCAAGGAAAAGAACTGCAGGGGTCCCTGATCTGAGCCCTTAGGTGCTTTCCTGATATAAGCCATCATTCTGCTTATCCACAATGCTTTCTATTTCTCCCTGAAGATGCCATTTTATTGCAAATTGCAGCAGGGAATAAATAAGATTTGGCAGATCTGGAGGTAATTTAACCTTGCCCTGATATAACTGCTTTTCCTTCAACATGAAAGTGACTAACAAGCATAGTTTTATAAAGCAGGTTCACTAAAACACATTTTACATTAGTTTGGATATTATTATTTTAATCTGCCTAGAGAGAGGTTTTAGGTCTCTCCCATCTTTCATGTCATGCTTTTGTGACACTCAAAGGCCTAGAAACTACTCTTGAATCCATTATTCTATTCTGATGCATGTGGAGGGGTGGGGGCCAGAAATCTTTATTTTTTTACTAGATTTCTATTCCATATTTTCTCCAGTAAATCCAGATAGCTTACTGATGGCTTTCCATTCATTTTATCCCCTCAGCAATAGGTTGGGCTGAGAGAGAGAGCGTGACCCAAAGTCATTCAGGGAGCTTACAAAGCTGAGGGTGGTTTGAATCAGGGATGGGCTGCTGGGGGTTTGAGGGGATTCAGGAGAACCTCTAGCTAAGATTGTGCAGTTTGGAGAACCCCCAAATCCCACTCCTGGCTGGCCCCACCCACCCCTTCCCGCTCCTCCCAAGAGTCCCCATGCGGCTTAGTTTGGATGCAGGGTGCGTACGGAGGCTTGGGGAGGGCAAAAAATGGGCCTACCGGAAATTCGGGAAGGTCAGAAACAGGCCTGTTTCCGTCCTCCAGAGGGCCTCCGGAGCCTGGGGAGGCCGTTTCCCACCTGCCGTAGTGTAGGAGGCCAACTAGGCCATGCCCACCATGGCCATACCTACCCAGCAATTGGGCAGAGAATCTCCTCATCTGTATTCCATCATTTTTCATCACTATATCACACTGATTGGTTCTCATAAGACAAAAACCAGGCAGTGAATTGGAAGTACCTTACTAGAACCCAATGGACCCTCAACACACTGATCCTGAACTGATTTTACTAGGAACAAATTTAAATCTATTTCGGTATGACAGGTTTCCAAATAAAGCACAGACCACTTGACATCAGAACCAAATTGGCAAAGTTAGGGAAGAATAGAAGGTGCATTTAGGATGTTCATTTAGAAGGTAAAACAGGGAGTGAATTCTCTCTTAGAAGACACCTTCGCTTACTGTCCCTTCAAAGGAAAGAAAAGCAAGTAAGCATTGCATACCGTCAAGAAGCAGCTGAAATCAGCTCCCAGAGAGAGGGACAGGGAAGACAAAGAGAGGCAGGGAGGGAGAACACAGCAAGAAAAAGTAAGCAGGAGAGTAGAGAAGGAGGAGGAAGATCAAGGCAGACTGGTGGCACGGCCCTTGATGGCAAGGACGCGTCGTGGAAGGCAGGGGGTGAGCCCAGGCACGTAATTCCATAACTTTACCCGACAGTCACTGTGGCACAGAGAAAGAGAAACAGAAAGAGAAGAAGAAGAGGAGAAAAAGGAAAACAGAAAAGGAAAAAAAAAACATGGTCGGAAAAGTGGAGATCAGAGATTGCCTTAGGGAAGAAAGTGAATGATGTATTCTTAGTTCTCCCCCCCCCCCCCCCCCCCGAGAGGCACTTCTGCCAAGCATTGAGCGCTTGTTTTCCAACCCCAGCTTTGCCAGAATCATGTCTTATAATGGCAGGTTACCAAGGATTCCCACTGCTATCCTCCTGGTTTCTGAATATATAGGGAAAAAAAAACATTTAACCGAGGTGGCGCAGCGGTTAGAGTGCAGTACTGCAGGCCACTTCAGCTGACTGCTATCTGCAGTTTGGCGGTTCAAATCTCACTGGCTCAAGGTTGACTCAGCCTTCCATCCTTCCGAGGTGGGTGAAATGAGGACCCAGACTGTGGGGGTAATATATGCTGACTCTGTAAACCGCTTAGAGAGAGCTGAAAGCCCTATGAAGTGGTATATAAGTCTAACTGCTATTGCTATTGCTAACTCTGCCTTAATCAAGTATGCATTGACTCATTCAGTAAGATATTCGGATAGCAATACTAAATTCTTTCAGGATTTCTTTTTGGGATCATTGAAGGTGGCTATTCACTCATAATGGCATTATATGAAGAAGCTATAAACAAAACAATTCTCACAAAAATTCTTCTTTGGTTTAAAGTCAATGGCTGTAGCACTATGGAAAGTGGCACTCGATGAAGAGTCACTCACTCACCCGTGGCTCCTTTGGCTCCCTCCCTCAGCTTTGGGCTCTAATGAAGCAATATTATCTTGAACAGGTCAATTATACATCATGGGATCAAGAAGGCAAAACCTTTTGGAACCCTTCCTTGGATAGAATAGGACTCTACTTAGACACTCACCTGGAAGCTGTGAAAATGTGCTTTGAATTTGTGCAGATAGCATTGATAGGACTATCATGTCCCTTGATGTCCCCAACAGGTGTGAAGTTGTCAACATTCCAGACCTTCACTGTCCCCCCACGGCAGGCACTCAGCAGCATGGGCCGGCTGGGCACAAAGGCCAAAGCACAAACCCAATCTTTATGTGCAGGGATTTGCTGGAAGCAGGAATATAGTAAATCAGAGAGGACCCAAGTCTTGTCATAATAGCTAATTAAAGGAAGGAAATTATCTGAATTTCCTTTTTTATTCCCCAATCATTCATAATTTAGTGTTTTGATACCTGGATGAGTTCTTGTTGTTCCAGGTCCCATTTCTTGATCCCATTGTCACGGGAACCGCTGAAGAGTATGTCTCCCTGAATAGCTAGGCACTCAATCCCATCATAATGTGGAGGCTCAAAGTTGTGGGAAGGTCCAATGTTCCCACCGATACCTTCAGCAATCTCAAACATCTGCAAAATAGAACTTCTTAGGAAAAAGAATCGCTAATCAAGAGCCACTGTTCCAGTTCAAGGTGTTTTAAGCCTTGGCCTCAGTATGTTGAAGGAACAGTGGTAGAGAAAGAGGACCATCTCCCTTTCCCAATATTAATTTTTAAACAGGAAGATTATATGCAATAATTTTGGAACTGGAGATATGAGTTAGCTGGTATGGGCTTAGTTTGGATCTTTTGTAAGAAATGTAGTGGGGAACTAAATGCAGGTATTCACTAGAACTAATTGTTATAATCACAGTTGTTGGATAGCTCCTATTTCAATTTTCAATTAATTCCTTTCCCAGGAATTTATATAAAGCCACGTTACAATCAAATGCTAAGCGTGAGACCAAGTACAGCTTAATGGAATGGTTTTATTTGCTCTTTAGTAATTTTTCATTTGTATTTGCCTGAATGTGAACAGCCTCATCTTTCTCCTGCATCAGAAATTCTCTTCTAGATGATTGATTGATTGATAAATAGGCAGACAGACAGACAGAGAGAGAGAGATAGACAGACAGACAGACAGACACACATACACACACACACAGAGGGGCAGGCAGGCAAACAGACAGACAAGAAAAGGGATTTGAAAGAACCAGACTGTCAATAATATAGAATGTTCCTGAATATGTTAATAATACATTCAACAAAACTTAAATAATACCTTAATATAGTGATCCTTAGATCCTGTGATTACTAAGTCATGATTACTTGCAGTCCTATTCACTGTGAGACACATCACAGGGCCAATGTGACCCGTCAGCTTTCCAATAGGCTGAAACCTATACAACAGATAAATAAGCCAATAAATAGCCAAACATTACAACAGTGATCAAAACATTGTAGGCAGATTTTATCTGAGAAAAAGTATTATTTTGCCCCTTCCCTATACTGGCAGCCCCAGCACGCACATTCTCTGAAACATAAAGGACTGACAATATACTTCAACAACTTTTTGTCAGTCTCTTCTGGGCATTCTTATACATTTGTAACCACTTGTCTAAGGTGTTAGCCCCAGGACTTGCTGATTGCTTATTGTGCTGTACAATTTGTAGGTCTCTCGTATCATCCCACATTATACCCCTCACTGTCCCCATTAATTGGGGATGATATGCATAGAAAATTTACAGGACCAGAAGGGACCTTGGAGATCTTCTAGTCCCTCCCCCTGCTCAAGGCAGGAGCATTATACCATCCTAGTCAAATGGTTGTCCAGTCTATTTTTAAAAACCTCCAGTGATGGATCACCCACAACTCTGGGAAGCAGAGTCCAAGCACTACAGGACACAGGTTAAAGAAATGATTTCTGTTTTCTTTCTGACCTGTTCAACTCCCAAATGCGGACAAAATTGCCAGTGGCTGCGTAAAGCATGGTGCCTGTGGGATTAAGTGCAATTTGATTGATCTGGTGTTCGCCTTGCACGCTGGTGATAGTCCGGGTAGTGGCCCCAGCACAGGCATCTCCAGTGATCACCTGGCCTGAGGAGCTAGTGGACAGAGGGAGAGGGAGGATCTGAATCATAAAATATATCTGACAAAAATATGAATGGAGTTCAATGAGAAAACAGGAGAGGTTTGCCCTTACAAGAGACTATAGAATAGAATCCCCATTGATTTATGTATATACTGCAAACTCACATAACTAGAATAAATTATTTCTCAATCTTACTTGTCTTACTCACAACCTTACTCAATCTTACAATTATAGCTAACTGCAGTTATAATTGTCCAGTGCAAAACCAAAAAGTAGCTCATAGCTTAAAATTTCTTTCTTTCTGGTATCTTCCTCTGCAATAAGGATTAATTAACCCATGTGATCAGAGCCAGCAATGGGTTTATACAAGATAAGATTAACTCTTCCTTTCTTAGCTGTTTTAAGAAAGCCAAATTTCATATGATGTTAGCCACATGGTTTATCCACTTGGTTGTTAGACTCCAGCTTCCACAATATTCATTCAGTGCATTCATGGGATATTCTAGCTGGGAAAACTGGAATTTGTATTCCTACTACATCCTAAAGGCGTAGGGGATCTTGGGAAAGCATGCAATGCAGTGATTACTTACGTGAGAGTACGGATGCACTTTGCAGAATCACGGATATCCCATACTTTGATGTAAGAGGTAGAGACTGTGAATACCAGGCCAGAGTCACTGCAGTATTTTATGGAGACTACATTATTTGGATGCCCTTTCAAAGATGCAATTTCTTGTCCTGTCACTAAGTTCCACATTTTGCAGCTCCGATCTTTAGAAAGGAAAGAAAGGTGAATCAGAATGGCTTTTTTCTCTTTGTTCAGAAAAGAAACAACTAGTGTCTAGTAAACTATAAGATATCTTGAGGTGTGCACAAAAAAACATGGAAACCATCACAACTGATTGGTGCAGGAGACACATGTTCTTCTTAACCTGGATTATGAAACTGTCTTAATAGAGGTGAGTTACAGATTGTCACCCACTTATTTTTAGGAGTATAGGCGACTCTGAAAATGTGTCCTCAAAAAAGGTAGATTATGATATGAATCGATAGCTTTCATAATTGACGTATGGTTTCCACAAAGAATCCATTCAAATATAACTCCCTTTAGAACATGTGTGTAGCATTTTCATCCTTCCAGCATCTAGGTCATCAAAACCAGACACACGTACCTTTGGATCCAGAAAATAACAATTCATCAGTAGCATCTAAGCACAATACTGGCTTGGTGTGTCCTTCAGCCACAGAAATGCATTGCAGTGGTGCTGTCCGGGCACTCCTGGAACCTCCCACAGGGTTAATGATCCCCCTTGCATGGCAGAAAACAAAACAGTTAAAAGAGTGCAAGTACCTTGTCTAAGTAGGAAAAAATGGATTTTTCTGGAGTCCCTAGAAAGGGAATGGGAATAGGAACTCATAAAAAATATACTCTCAAATAAACACAAAGCATAAAATAAAAACAAGCATAATATGTTAATGTTTTTCACCTATTGTTTTTGTGTTTTCTCTCTCTCTCCACCCCCTCTTTCAAGCTTCAAGATCTTCAGGCCTATTATCACTTATACCTCACCACAGCAATTACATTGACAGGTTCACGTATCTAGGCAGTTTTCTTTGGTTACATATTTCAGAAGTTGCTTAACATTGTCTTCTTCCCAGAAATGAGGGTATCTAGCCCAAAGTCACCCAATTAACTTCATGCCTAAATCAGGGCTAGGACTCAAGAGTTTCTCAGTTTCTAACCTGATGCGTTTAAGTACTGCAACAACTAGCTCTTAAGTAATCCTCAGGTGTATTAATATTTATTAAAGTAGTATTCTCCCTTTTTGTGTGTGATGTAATTCAAAGGCATCTATTATGGCCATAGAGTTGCTTTGCCATGCTTTTCTCCTGTTCTAGACTTAAAAGAAAATTTTGGTACCCCTGCTGTGCTCCCTTCCCATATACCTGGAACAGATCTGTGTTGCCCGGTTATCTGTGCAATGTTAATACGTAACATTCTGAGGGCTGTGATTGGTGTCCTTATTCGCTGAAATTCTTAACCCGTTCAACATCATCCATCATGTGAAAAATGCTTCCAATTGGCATGTATAAATGCTTTTATTCAATTCACTGTAATTTTTCTTTCTTTTTTCTGCCGCATCATCAACTGACTAAATTTTCTTCTTTACATTCCTTAAAACCATCAACTGACTGCTGACAGAAAAAAAATGAGAGTTCTATGTCTTTTGGCTGACACCTAGGGGTAATTATGAGTAGCAGAGACTGAGACGCAGTAAATCCCAAAGGTGCTTTTTCCAAGAGGCAACTGGACTTTCTGGTTTTTCTTCGAAGGCGTTTCGCTTCTCATCCAAGAAGCTCAGAAAGCCCAGTTGCCTCTTCAAAAAGCACCTTAGGGACAACCATGACTTGGATGACTGAGAATCTCCATAGACATTTACTGACTAAATGTTACAGAGCTGGAGTTTGAGAATCAATTTTTTCATGTGGAAAAATTAAATTATTAAGTGAGAAAAAGAAAGGAGAAACCAGGACGCCCACTGGCTGCAGAAATACTTGAGTTGTCCTTTCCATTACAATGTCAATTATCTGTGTTAAGCCAATGATGAGCTAGACAGTTTTAAGACTCCATGCCCCTTAAGCTGACCTAAAAAAATGGCCCCAGAAGCAAACAAATTCCAGTAAGCCCCCCTCCCCCCAATTGTTGTAGAGATGCACAGCAGATCTGCAGGAAAAGTGGAGCCAAGCAGATTGCTGGCTCCAATGGTCACTCATCCCCCATAGATCATCCAGATGGAAGGCTTAGAGCTGGACAAAAGGGGAAAAACCATTTTCAGAACAGGGTACCTAAGGCTGTCTTCAGAATGCCTCAAATAAGGGATGACAATAAGATACTGAAGCTGGCATAAGGTCAGTTCCTCTGCAAATTGTTAGTACTATAGGACATCTTCATGCTAAGACAAGGAGACTGTGAATGAGGCTAAAGTGTACTAAATGTTATATTTTTAGTGATTGTGCAGGCTAGAAACCACCCCCTAGGTTTCAATCAACAGTTTGAAGGAGGAGAGATGTCTTTGGTGAATAGGAAGGCATGTATCACATGGGCAGAGAAAAAAAGACTCAACCACAATCTCCTGGGTAGGAAAAAGCTTTGTTCTTTTAAAAAGTTAGGGGTAGAACTTGGGGGAAGACAGGGCCAGAAGCTGCATGGAGAAAAGGAGAAATCATTGTTCTTCTCAATTTTTTTTGATAAAAGTGGAATTTTTAGCAAAAAGAAATTTCCAAGTAAGGGAGAAGAAGAATCACTTGCTTACATGGACAACTATTCCCTTATAGGAATAGGAAAAATGGTATAGTTAGAAATATTTCACTTTTCTAAACAGATATAAGGAATTGGATCCAATTGTTCATGCATAATTCAGACTAAGCTGAAAGATACTAACATTTATTTAGAAATTTACTCTAATCTATATTATTAAATTGCACAGTCTCCCATTTTATAAAAGAGATCGTATCATTTGTAGCAGACCACTGCCATCTAGTGGTCTTTTGGATTTTTCCATTTAACTAGTTTGTCAGCTGCCGTATATTGTAAATTTGGGCAACTGCATAATCTGTCTCCTATAACATGTAATGTTTACAATTTAATATTTAAAGTTGACAAGTGATTTTTACATTTTCTCTCTTTTTAAAATTGTTTCTCTTCCAAAAGGGAACTGGAACAGTAGAAATCTCTACGCTTACAGGACCTGGAGGCTTTACTATAGAAATCTATTCATCCCCCCCTCCCCGCTCAATATGCCATGAAGGTAGTAAATGTTCCCAAGGCCTATCTAGGCTTGGGTTAATGAGAAGATTCCAAATGAGGTGTTGCATATCCAAATGAAGGAGTGAAGCCAAAGATGAAGGCTTCACTCAGGTCCGCCACCAAAGCGGGAAAAATACTGTACTGTGATTGGCTGAACCGTTTGACAGCTCCCTATAAAAGGGCAAGCTGTCAAACAGACATTTGCTGGTTATTGCTTGTTGCAATAAAGAGTTTGACGTCAAAGATCTGCCTCTATCTCTTCTATTCGCCCACAACTTAACATGAAGTATCTTGTGGAAATAGGTGGAAGCAGCAATAGTTACTAAGCAGTTAAACTAAATGCAGGAGAAAAGGACAGAAAATGTATTCTTAGAAAGGATATTTGAAACTTCCAGTCTTTTACCCAAACTGCTATAGAGTTTGTTACCCATTGTTTTGGAGGGAAGCTTGGTGACTTCTGTTCTGCAGAACAGAAACAAGCGGAGGTTGGATAAGGATCAACAAGGGAGAGGGCAACTTTTATACTGATATTGTCAGCTGATTCAACAATAGAGGGAGAGTCTGTCAACTCAGCAGAACAAAAAAGCTTTTGGGGCAAAAAAGACTGAAAGCTTCAGACATGAGCTGGTGGTTTAACTAGGACTTCCAGACAGGATGGAAATTTAACCCACTTCTGGCTGGTGATTTTCAATACATATAAGGAGGACAATTTGGAAGAAATCATGTTTCAGGTAGTCCTCGACTTACAACAGTTCATTTAGTGAAGTTACAACAACACTGAAAAAAGTAACTTATGATTGTTTTTCACACATACAATCGTGGCAGCTTCTTGATGGACCTACGATCAAAATTCAGAAGTTTGGCAACCGACTCATATTTATGACGGTTACAATATCCCAGGATCCTGTAAATGCTTTTTGCAACCGTCTGATAAGCGAAGTCAATGGGGAAGCCAGATTCATTTAACAACTGTGTTGCTAACTGAACACCTGCAGTGATTCACTTAACAACTGTGGCAAGAAAGGTCATAAAATGGGGCAACATTCACTTAACAAAATCTCGCTTAGCAACAGAAATTTTGGGATCAATTGTGGTCGTAAGTCAAGGACTATCTGCGTATTCCAAGTCACAGGAAATGGGCCTGAAACATTCTTTAGTCAGCTGGAGGAATATTTAGCACTCAGAAAGTAGAAAGGGAGGAAGGTAAGAAATACTACATCAGGGTCTCAGGTGACATGCAGATTTTAAATGCAGGAAGAGAAAATAGAATGGGAAAAGAAGAACAAGGCCAAAGGAGTTATATAATAAACAGTAAGTTTTATACCTCAACACCTCCGAGATAGAGGAATCACTGTCATCAGACCTAGGAATAGAAAATTAGCAGGATTATGGGTGATTAAAACCAGGAGAAAGAAAAGCAGCAGCATAAAGTCAGAAGAGGGAAGTTTGTTATTGCATCCAAGCTAGCAGGGCAGATCAAAAAGATAGCAGGCTGTAGACAGAGAGGGCTCAGGAGCAGAAGGAGCACAAGCAGAAACCACCTGCAATTTGAATAGGTATTTTCCCACTCACTAAACCCTTGATATTATACACACAGTCTTGAAACTTGCTTTAGGAAAAAAGCAATGAAAACTCCAATGATGTTAAATTATTGCACATATGTGTGGAGAAAGACACCAGGCGTACAATGCAATCTACCAAGGTTGGTGGGTAACCTCTGAGCAAAGTCTATTGTGACTTCCATGATACTTCCTCATGAGGATGTGATCACTGTGGTGTCAAATTCCCTCTACAAATGGCTGTCAGTTATGTTTTTTGTACTGCTTTTATTTTTCTTTGAAACTTCAATAGCCACTTAGCTGAAGTTGGTCTATACTGGACAAATTAGCTTAAAGCACTAATGGAACATCATCAGTTTTTTGATGCTACAATTCCCCTCTCTCATATCCTGATCTCAAGAGTACACAGGCCGGTATTTGGAAAGCTGAAAGCATATGCAACTCTTGTCCTGTTAATAGAGCAAATTAACAGCTATTTGGAGATGCTGGCAACTCAAACCTATCTTGAAAAAAATACACTTGCATCCTCTCAACATTCATGTGTAGAGTTTTGAAAACGAGACTCCTAGCTGTGGGAGGCTGCAGACACGATTGGAGAGAGATTTCATGCTTCCTAGCAACCATCTAAATACGCTGAAGAGAGGCAGCAATCATTTAGCAATGAGACATTATGGAATGTAAAAAATTAGATGCTGGTCCTGGATGGGGAAATGGTATAACTGTTATTTAGGTTTCTTACATATTTGGGGAAGTTCCAGGGAAATCTTGTCTGGTTGCTGCTAAATGTCCTGATTGCTGAAGCAGAGAGCTAACTCCAGTGCAAATGGGACAACACACCTCCAGGTCCCCCTCCCCTCTCAAAAAAAACCCAAACTAAAACAACAACTCAAAACAAAAAAAAACCTAAATGTTTTCAGTATTGGATAAAATGGAAAATTCGGAGAAACTTTTTTTTTTTTGAGCCAGCAGCTATAACCATAAATTCTTCTCTTTATCCTTGGGAAATGAACTTCCTCCAAATCTCAGAGTTAATCTTACTTGTCTAATGCAGAGCCCTGGCTCTGGTTGCTAGTGAGCCGAGAGAAGACATTGCGGTCATTGCGTGGTCTGCTGGGAGGGGATGAGGGAGGAGTGAATCCAACATCTGGATTTCTAGGCAAGAAAGAAAGATGCGATGATTTACTCTGATTGGAGGCTGGTTTGCTCCTTGCAAATCATCTCTCACCACTCTCAGATCCTGTTCCACCAAGCAAGTCAACTGGATGACAAGGAAAATAAAAGATAAGGAGGGGCCCCTTCTTATGCACTTACCTGATAGACTGGCCCCTGTCATATGACTTCCTCCTTGTAAGGGGTGAAGTGTCTGTGACTCGGGACTGTCGAGGGCTAGAGAGGAAAAAAAGACAGAAGATATTATTTGAAAAATTCTCTTATTGGAATGAATGAAGTGCTAAATGCCTGGGGAATCATTTGCTTCAAAACATTCCTAATGTCAGGGAGATAGATAGGATGTACATAATCTTCTTGCAGATGCAAATATTTCGATGAAGGAGCACATGGGAGTAGATGATCTCTTAAAACACTGCAAAAACAAATGTCAAGGAACTGAAATAGACTGGGAATATTAATTCAGTTTCCAGTACCTTCCATGTTTGCAAGATTCCTCCTATGTGCAGAAACATTTATATTTATTTTAGTACCTATACTTATCCTTGCCAATTCATAACCGATAGAGACTAATATAGGTTACGTCATTTGTATAAACTAAGTTTTCTAAATATTCAGCAGCCACATCCTGCAGGAAACGGTTCCTGCTCAGACTGCACAATGCTTCAGTTTTCACTCTAAAATGTGGTTTCAGAGCATATGGGACATGAACAAACCATCTGTCCGCAACTCTTTTTAAAGCAGTTGTACCTTTTCCCAACATCCTGTGACTGCTGCTTAAAAGGAAAAGTGTGGCTGCTTTGAAGACTTGCAGGTAGGGATTGTGAGATGCTCTCTGAAGCACCTTTTTGTAATCAAAACAAAAGCAAAGCTCCTACTTTCTCATTAGGGGGCTCTATATTTTGAACTACTCAGGTGAAGCTGCTAGCTGGCTGAGGATTATGAAGAGAGTTTTGAGATGATTTCGTAAAAATGATGGAATGTAATGAATTGAAGACTTCTTATGTTTATTGTTAAAATTTCTGTAAAGTTTGCAATCAATAAAAAGTTGATTCTGGCCTGAATGTAATACACAGATCATTGTTTTTTCCTTGCCTGGTTATTTCTCTGGCTCACTAACTACTACCATCAAGAAAACAAAATTTTGGGTTGCTAAAAGGATGAATCATATATTGGTTTACACAAAATAATGCTGAAGTACTGGGCTCCCAGTTTTCAAGCCAATAGCATCTCCACTTCTCAACATGCAAGAGAACTTACGCAGAGGTCATTGTCTCTATAACATTACCTCTATAAGACCCGTGGTGGTGCAGTGGTCAGAATGCAGTATTGCAGGCTCTGGCATTCCACTTACCAGGAGTTCGATTCTGACCAACTCAAGGTTGACTCAGCCTTCCATCCTTCTGAGGTTGGTAAAATGAGGACCCAGATTGTTGGGGTTAATATGATGGCTCTGTAAACCACTTAGAGGGGGCTGTAAAGCACTGTGAAGCAGTATCTAAGTCTAAGTGCTATCACTATTGCTATAATCAGGACTTACAATGTGCTCCCTCGGATAGGCAGGCTGATGGTGCGGGAGACTTTCTCCTTATAATAAGGATCATGGATGGAGAATCCAACACTGTCCTCTTTAATTTCCATGAGAGACGCTAATGACTTGGTGATGTTCTTAGTGGAGATGTCCAATGTGGGCCCTAGGCACTCTGCAGATACAGCTTTCATTTGAGCAGACAGTTTAGGCTCTCCCTAAAACAAAGTCCCAAAAGAATCAAGTCAGAGCATTAATCACCTAGTCAGGTATTATTCCCTGGCTGAATTTAACTATCCTTATTGGTTGGTAAAATGTAGCACAAGATTTAGATTTGAATTCAGGCAAGAGATATCCATTGTGATTATCCTAAATTTTAGGATGCAATAAGTCTCAAGGGTCATTAAGTCACTGAAGAAAGTTTGGTTTAAAGACAATAAAGGAAAGGGACATACAAAGAGATAAGGAGGAATATTTAGTACTAATTACCATCCCAGTTTAATGACTCTGAGTGGTTCACAATTAAAAAGCAGTAAAATTTCAAAATGCAAAAAGTCCATCAACTAAACATAAATTAACAATATGCTTAGCAATCATTTTCTAATTTAAAATACACCTTGCTATTAGGACTTGTATGTTAAATTTTAATACTTCATGCAAATTATTCTCACTGTTTAACTGAAGAGCAGTCAGATGTTTACAAAGACATAAAACACCTATAGCCACACTGGCCAAATGCAGCTTTCAACTTACCCTGCATTTGAAGTCATCCTGACTCGCAGAACCTTTCATGAAGAAAGACTGGGAAAAGCTGCAGGACACAGAAGGAGATTTTTTGGTACATGCAATTTTTATAGGCACCTATTGAGAATCCAAATGAGACCAACCCCAAAGAGATTCCTCTAAGTGCGATACTCAGACTCTGAGTTATTCCTGACACAAGCACTCCATGCTGAATTGGATATTTATTTATTTTTTGGTATAAAAAACAGAGCATAGGGATTCCTTGATGACCGTGAGCTGGTTCACTGGTCAACAAAAATAATTTCCATTTCTCCCATTTTTACACACACACACACACACACACACACACACACACACACACACACACACGCCTCTCGCTTTCTCTGAGGATACTCACCTTCCCTCTGAAGCCAAACTGAATTCTGAGACTTCCTCATCAGTGCTGGCATAGCCATTTTCTACGCAGAAAAGAACCAACATTGGGATCATATTCGTCAGCACACAGACATCAGCACTGCTTCTGTATCAGAAGCTTATCTAGGAAAATGTCTCTAGAGTCACCAAAGGGTGGTTCATGGACCACTGGTGATCTGTGAGAAAATTTTGGTGGTCCACAGAAAAATTATTTGCATTTTTTATATTGTACTAAATACTATTTATCTTTTTAAAAAAATCATATTAGTGGCCTGCAGGATTTAAAATTATGCATTTAGTGATCACTGAGGTCCCAAAGGTTGGTGGCTCCTGCTCTAGAGAATATCCAAAGGACACGAGAAGGTTATTCTTAATTTTTTAAAGAGGGCAACTTGGCAAAAGAAGACTAATCTCCAATTTACAGAAGCAGAAGGACCACAAGAATGAACTCAGAACAAACACACTTTCAACTGAAAAAGAGCCTTGCCACATGAACTGACTAACTCAGAGGTAAGTTTAAATGCTCAGCTCATGGTTGTACTCATCACATAGCAGCCTGGCTATTTGAAGTCTTTGTTACGTAGTGATTGTCCTCAAATCTTGTCACACAGCAATATGTATGTATGTATGTATGTATGTATGTATGTATGTATGTATGTATGTATGTATGTATATGTATATGTATATGTATATGTATATGTATATGTATATGTATATGTATATGTATATGTATGAGGTGTTGCTATAGAAGANTATGTATATGTATATGTATATGTATATGTATATGTATATGTATATGTATATGTATATGTATATGTATGAGGTGTTGCTATAGAAGAGCACTGCAGATAGGTGAATAAGAAAACAGACCTTGCTGCACATTGTGAATGAGTGCCTGTAATTCAGGGTGGGATTCTGCTTTTTCTCGTAGGGCATCCAGAATATGATGGTTCTGAGAGGAGCCAGTCACATCTGTTTGTCTCAGACGTCCTTCCAGTAAGCGGATCTGAGCTTCCTTCTGGGCTACCTGCAGACTCTATTTTCAGAGATTGGAAAATTAAAGAACTTGATCATAAGCTTTATTCTCACTCATAAATAAGGCTATATTATTATTTCTGCAATGGGATTCTGTGTCTTGCAATGGGTACTAAGCATAGGTGGTATTCTACTGGTTTGGACTAGTTCACCTGAACAGGTAGAAATCGCAGGTGGCCTCGCCCACCCGCTCCAGCTCTACGGCATCTCATTTAGGCCATTTTTCCCCACAAAAAGCGCACAGAAGGCTGTGCGCATGCATGGAGGTATCTATGTGCGCTCACAGGGAAGGTAAGTAAATACCACCCCTACTGAGACACAACCAGAAATCTGTAATCATAATATTCAGTCAGAGCTTTAAGCCTTATTGTACTTCTTAGTGAAGTGTTTGAATAAAGCACAAGGATTAAAAAGAGTTTCACTGCAAATATATTTCAAAATATTAAAAATCTTACTCTATTCTAAAAGAGAAATGCTTTTAGAATGGAGTAAGATTTTTAATATTTTGAAATATATTTCTCCAAGAGTTCCATGGATAGATCAGACTAATATTGTAACCAGTTACATTTGCTACTGGATTAGCTATACCTTTCAGGAATTCTTAGCCTTGACTTACCTTGTCTATGGATGCTTTGAGAAAATTGTCCAGTAAAAGTCGTGCTTCAGCCAAAGAGCAGGAGCTGATCACCACAGAGGTATCTGTAGAATCCAATTCTTCCTAGTAAGAAGAGACCCATAGGGAGAAGAAATAGAATGAGAAAGTCTGGGGATAGAACATTGTTTCCCTGTCTAAATATTGGTTTTACTAGCCTTGATATTCTCTCAATAGAGTAGTGCATGAGTAGCCAATTTCAATTATTCATTCAACAAGTGAACCCACTGGGGATTACTAGAGCCTTCTCCCTGTTTTTTCTACAACAAGAGAATTCTTCTAGAGTACTAATGCCTTAATATAAATAACAAATTACCAGACTGATAAGATGTAATTCCACAATGAAAAAAGAGAAAAAATTTCCAATTCTCTCAGGGATCTTATAAGGATTGTGAAACACAATAATCCCTTAGTCTCTACTGTTCCTTAGAGCAAAGAGTCCAGCTATCAGCCTCAATTAATCTCTGGCTCATACATAAATTATGGAATCCCCCCTCTCAAATCCCTTGCCACAGATGGAAATGGGACACACCTTGGTCTCTTCAATCTGCATAATGGTGGCCTGGCAGTCAGAAATACTGTCATTTATGTAATCAAGATTGGCAGCCAACACTTCAATCTCTTCATTCAATTCCTGCAATCCCTTCTGTTCTTCTGGGTTCTCAGCCTGTAGTTTCCCCCTCTTTCCTAGTAGTCCTTCCTGCATCAGTGACAACTCCTCACGTTTCTGAAAGCAAGAAGAAAGAATTGAATCGTTCTGCTAGGCTACTGTCCTGCAAGAAACTCTGCCCCCAAGCCTTCCCTTCTATCCCAATGAAGACATCCACCCTTATGAGCCATCCCCCCTTGTCACCTTGATAAGACGCTCCATATCTGATTCCAGATTGATGACAGTCATTCTTTGCATGACAATATCAAAGACACGGCGTTCCAGTGACTGCCACTTCAGGCGGGCTGCCTTACTAAAAGTCTGATTTGCACCTTTCTTTGGGAATCTTTTCCTACGGAGGGAGATCACAAACAAGAGATGAGCAGCACAATCCTACCATTATGCTAAACTCTCATCCCTGCTACTCCAAGTAGTTCTGAAGCAGAGGGTGGGAAACCATTCTGAATGCTACCAAGAGGAAGCTATCAAGAAAACCCAAAGCTCCAGGAGGCAAGAAAGTATCAATATGTTCACAGACAAGGTAAAGGTTTCCCTCGCACCTATGTGCTAGTCATTCCTGACTCTAGGGGGCGGTGCTCATCTTGGTTTCAAATCCAAAGAGCCAGTGCTGTCCGAAGGTGGCTCCGTGGTCATGTGGCCGGCATGACTAAACGCTGAAGGCGCACTGATTGCTGTTACCTTCCCTATTTTTCTACTTGCATTTTTACATGCTTTCG